CTTTTCAGTTGAAGATAGAGGTTTGAAACTCATTGTGTAAATGGTGTTTATTGATGTGTTTTCTTCCCCTGTGTTTAGTTTTCTCCAACTCCCAGTACTCCCTTTAGCCTATTCACAGGAATGTCTTTATGAGCAGTGCAGTTCTGTGCTGTGCAGAAGCCCCTGCTGAGCTCACTGTGCTGCTGAGCCGTTTGCATGTGCTGCCACAGACCTTTGCCCTGAGCAGGAGTTCTACCTTTGCCCCTGAAGTTGTTCTTGCCTTGCTCTAATCAGGACTACCTATGCAGATAACAGCAAAGCTTTTGTTTTTTGATACAGCATGTGTAATATTTAGTCTGTCTGGGAGATCAACTGGCATAGCAGTGCCAGAATAGCCCTGTTTTGTTGGCAGCTAGGAATGACTTCAACAGAGACTGATATAGTGACTCCACACATTTTTCTCTTCAGGTGCAGTCATTCTGATTTCTTTTCATGCGTAGATCATACCTAAGAGGAGACTTAGATCCAGTCAAGTTTTAAAATGCCAGCAAATATTTATGAGACTTCTATATTTGTCGTAGAATCATAGAATGGTTTGGGTTGGAAGGGACCATAAGGATCATTTAGTTCAATTTCCCTGCCATGGACAGGGGCACCTTCCACTGGATCAGGTTGTTCAGAGACCCATCCAGCCTGGTCTTGAACACGGATGGGGCGTCCACAACCTGTCTGGGCAATCTGTTTCAGTGCCTCACCACTCTCACAGGAAAGAGTTTTTTCCCAATATCTGATCTAAACCTACCCCCTATCAGTTTGAAACCATTCCCCTTATCCAGTCACTACAAGCATTTGTAAAAAAGTCTTCTCCAGATCTCTTGTAGTCACCCCAGCTTTGCATACTGAGAGTGGGTCTACAGGAAAGACCACAGACTGATATGATTGCACATTAAACTTTACTGAAAGGAATATGGCTATAAATATAACAGGTATAAAATACTTTACTTAGCTGGGAAGGAAAAGGGGTTTTTTTCTGAAGGGACTGTGGAATTGCAAAAAATTGTACCTGTTTTAAAGTTCATTAAAACAGGTACAGTGAGCTTCTCCAGTGAGCTTTTGAATAAAGGTAGAATTTTATAATAAAATTCCTAATTTCCTTTTGTCTGTCTGATATTTTCTAGAGATGGAGAGGAAATGGGCTCCTATCCCACAAAATATTTTTCCAGCTCTACACTGGTACAGAACAGACACTTGTGAAAGATTTAACTGGAAACAGAATAATGAATACACCAACAGACAGGGTATTTATTTTTTTATTTTTGAAAGAACC